GTATCTGTGTGTTATTGCAGCCAGTGGAGCTGCTCCCTGCTGGCCTTTACATAGACTCCAGGTTTAAGCTCTGTCCATTTTATATACTGTCAGTGGTCTTATCAACAAAAAGTCAGGGATTCATGTTTTTTCATTTACAGTGAGTTCACATTTGACAGGCTGACCTGGTAACTATAGACACTAAAAGGGTCGGTCAAGAATATTCGTTAGTTCATTTTCACCCATCACGAGGTGCAGGAGTCCCTGCAGACTGGGTACATAGTTTCCATATTGACGCTGTGTGAGTCTGTGCCTCACTTGAAGAAAAATACATTGAAACTGAAATCGATCGCTACCTCAGTTCACCTTTTCTGTGATGCAACTTGTCAGCAAAGATCCTGACTAATCTTTTGTTATTTAAAAATGTCTTCCTTTTTTATTGAAATTTTGGAAAGGGTCTACGCGTAGAGAGCAGCCAGTGTCTGCATTTCACACCCTGAAATCTTTCTGGCCTCTTTAATTTTGTGCCTTGGCTTCGTGTTCGAACGTTTGATCAGAGCTCCGCGCACAACATCGTGCTCATGTATTTTTGTGGATCATTTTTATTGGGAACAAATTATTTCTTTTTCCTGGAAATGAGGTGATTTGTTATGGGTCCACTTTTTGCTGAGACCCCCGTTAACCCACCAACTGTGTGCACTGGTAACACTTCCACGCACACAGACACAAATGGACACGTGGACACACATGCACACACACAGATTTCTTCACTTTTAAAGAATGCAGTCAGGTTCATAAACATAAAAACTGGCGTTCTTTCACAGACATACTCTTAGACACCCAGAGAAATTTACTGTGAGGACCCCCCACTGTGCTCCAACTAGAAAAATAAAACCATTGAGTCATTTCATATGCCTTGCCCTCTTAGTCTGCAGATTTTACAAAGGTGTCAAATAGCTTGAATTACTTAGTTTTCCTGCTGCATGAGCCAGTGAGCATTTAGTGCTGTCACAGCAAAACACTGGAAGGATAAGTTTCATGACTGAATGACCCACAGAACCTCATCAAACTCTCATACGTACCTCGTGGTTAAAGCTGTTTGAATATATTATGTATTATTTTAGCCACTGTGACTCCATGAGAATGAGGAGATTGTGATTGTGAGTCCAGACTGAGAGCTCTAAAACTACAGATGACGAGATCTATGGTTCCCAGAGGTTAAACCTTAATGACTCATAAAAGCTAAATATTACAGGATGAATGTTTGCAAGTTAGTGTGTAAATAAAGCTAACATTTGATAGAGTGTTACTATTAGCAGTGATGGTTTACGATATGATTTAATTTGGAACAATTCAGTTCAATCTGATACAGTCCTTAACATTTGTTTAATGTAGACATTTATTTTCCATTCTAAATTAAAATAAAGTGGTAGCACGACAGATCGCATTAGACGACGCGGTGACACCTACACAGGCGTCGAGGAATCTGTGGATGCTAATACAGCTAGCACAAGCATGAACATGTGAGATACGAGATTCCTTCTTATAGAATCCAAATGTCTTCCAAACTTTAGATTTCAGATTTGATGGTGCACTGTAAATCGTGTGAGCCACGCTTCACTAATGTTACTCTCGTCGCTCTTGCGGCGAGAACTTTTACGTTGACCTTTTACCTTTAATGAAAGTGGAAACGCTGTTAGCAGCAAAGTTTCCGTCAACAGATTCATAGCTTTAGATTTAGACCATCAAGTTTACATTTAGATCCATCCAGGTGTCCACGTACTGATGTAGTCACATCTATAATGTTAAAACTGATTTCTGACTCGCATAAGTAAATCATTATTTGTTGCACCCTAGTTGCCATGTTAGTGTGCTAATATTAGCATTAAGCTTTGAAGGTCCAGTGTGTAACATTTAGGAGGATCTATTGTCAGAAATGAAATTTTATATTCATAACTGTTTTCATTATAATGTAGTATAATCACCTGAATATAAGAATCCTGTTTTCTGTATTTCACGCGTTTTGCGGACACGGCTAGAAGCCACTAAATCCTACACACTTGACCTTCCAGATAGAGGGTTACATAATCTGAAAGCGGCATCTTACTCCAACACCCACACTGACATCTTTACACCAAGTTTCATTTTCAGTCTCTGTTGTAACAAAGCTGCACAATACTCTATTTTTGTGGTAATGTGTACCTGCCTCCAGCTTTTTATTTATCCATTCAGCGCCTTCCCCAACTACAGTGTGTGCTGAGAAAGTGAGGGCGGCTCAAATGACATATTTAAAAGGCACAAAACACCATTACACAGCACTGTTCAGTAGCCATGTGCTCTGACACTTACACACTATTCATACAATAAACATTAACACGCCACCAGGATGGAAATGTCACGTTGACCTGACGGCAGTCTCCCATTTCCATCGTCCCAGATCTGTTTGTGGGTACATAAGAAAGACCGCCCGTGTTATCACAATATATAAGACCTGCAAGCCTTTTCTCCACACCAACCACAGGCTCACTGTCAATAGATTTCCATGTTTGAAACCTGAGTTAGGCTTTTTTTTTTTTAGCTCAGGACAATGAGTTCGGTTGCAAAGTGGTTATTAAGCGAGGCAGAGATATTTGAGTTAAGCTCTCTAAGGAGTCTCAGGCTGGGAGTAAGAGATTTTTGGTCAAGTCATTGAAAAAGAGAGGGACAAAGACGGGACAGTGTTCACCAATTTGTAATTTGCTGTTATGAATGAAAGAGGAGATCAAATTCTAATAGAGCAGCACAAACTTTAACGTTGTTTTTATGTTGTCCATGCGCAGGAAAAGCAAAGCTTTCGTTGGAGTAACTGACACTTTGCTAAAGATTAAGTTAGTAAACTAAACCTTCTGGTAGTTTTGTATTAAGGAATAGAACAGAAAGTAATATCTAACCTCAGTGTACTGGCCGATATCAAATATCAATCCCACACTAATCCTCAGTCTCTTTTTTCTTTTTACATTTAAAATCCTGAAACCTCCCTGCACACCACCGAATGGATTATGTGACGGTTACACAGTATAGGCTGTATATGTGTTAAAAAACATTCTGACATTTTTTTGCAAGAAAAATAAATTATGTGATTATTAGTTGTAAATATTTTTTAGTCCACTGACTAATCGATTAAATAACTCATTATTTTAGGCAAAAACTAGACAAATGAAACCAAAACTATCTGCTTGGCTGTAAATTCCACTTTTGGGTGTATTTATAAGTAGATTTAAATACATTATTTGAAAGTGTTTATTAGCGTGAGGGATAGAGGAATTGTGTCGGCACTAAACAAATCATGTTTTTCACTGGAAAACGTGAAGGAGTTTTGGGGCCAGTACGGGCATTTTTCAATGGATCATATCGACTAAAATAAAGCCGATAAAAGTCTGATCCTTTATTCACTGAACCCTACTATTCATCTGAGCCTGCCGACAGCTGACAGCCGACAGCATGACGTTTCATCCCGTATGTGCAGTGAAACTGTGTGAATGTGAAAAATGTTTGTTTGGTTCTGTTTTTGTTTGTCGTTTGTGGGTCTTTGTTTCGTTGATGAGGGAATGTTGAGAAATCCATATAAATATTATTTAAAAAAATGATTTGGGCGTACCAGGTCGAGTGACTGACGCTCAGATTGGAGTCAAATGATCTGACTGATTTTGTCACCAGGGGCGTGTCCAGAGGGATGGCCTGAAATCTGATTGGCCACCCCAAGTTCCACCCCTTTCTTCTTCCACTCCACACTGTCTTTCAGAGGATGTGGGCTCTGTATTAAAACTAGACTAAAGATACTGACATCATATTAAACCCATATGACCCAACCCATATATTGGTACTAACTAATGTTATGCTAGCATGTTGGGAAGGAGGCTAAATAATGCTCCAAATTTAGGCAAACATTTGGTCGTGGAAAGACTGGAATGGCCATTTTCAAAGGCCTTTGACCACTGACCCCAAGATATGTGAATGAAAATTGGTTCTATGGGTACCAACAAGTCTCCCTTTTGCAGACATGCCCTCTTTATG